AATTGGTGGAAACATCACAAATTTGAAGAGACACGGTGGCTGGAAGTCTACCAATGTTGCTGAAGGCTACATAGACACTTCACTTACAAACAAAATTGAAATTGCCAAGACCATTCAAATATTATCAGATGAAAACATTCAATGTGAAATGAAAACTTTACCTTCTTGTTTTGACTTCAACAACAAAAGGCAACACCCAAGCACTTCGAACAAATTGAACCCTTTCAATATTAGCAATTTCTTGAATTTCCATATAATTATTAGTATAAATAAGAATTGTTCCTTTTGGTACCTTTCTTCTGTTCGAATTTCGATATTAAATACAAATGAGAGTTAGAATGTTCAAAATTCTGTTCAACAACGAAATATAACGAAGAAAAGAGTCTCATTGATTTGTTATTGTACACGATTGTCAAAAAAATTGTGAACGCAACACGACCGAAAACGGTTTCTTCCGTAAATTACTATTTCAGTTTCCAGTACTTGAAAAAATATTTTTCATCGCATCATTAAAGAACTCTATCAAGAGTTATGGTGCAGGCTTCAGATCACCCTGTACGTTATCCTTTCCGCTTCTGCCTCCCCGAGCGACGCGTACGCGTGCTGTACACCGAACTTACAGATCAGGTTTCCGATTTTGACTTTTTATTGCAGCACCACCATCGGGACGACTTGAACGACCAACTGCCGCCGATCTCAGTTGTTTCGACTCTAGCACAAAACGCGGACAAAACGCTCATTCGGCGGCATTTTCGAACGACGATCGCGAATTTTGTTTATTTGATCAGATGATTCAATACCGCTATCTGTATTTTTTTCGAAAGATTTCGCGGTACTCGCAGGTATGAAGCCTGCAGTCGCACGTTTGTTTTTGTTGATATCTCGTCCTGACAGAAATGTGTTCCTTTCAGAATTTGTGATATTAATTTTGTAGTTAATGCTAGGAACTATGAATAACTATTTTTTGGTGTGTTTGCTGGTATTCATCAATTCTACCACTACTATGCATCACGTAAGTCTTTGAAATTGCAACTATTTGGCGTTTTCCAAGATATGCCGAATTGACGTTTTGGCTAGAGATTAACGACAAGTACACCCATACAAACCAAAATATATCTCATAAAATTTTGAAAAAGTCAATAATTCTACTAATTTGTGTTTGTTCTGAAGAAAAAATGGAATACTGAAAATCCTTTATTGAAGTATTACCTGACTTCTTGAAATATTTGAAACTCTTTTAATGTCATATCTTTTATGGCATTGTTAAATATCATTGTAGATCTACAGTATGGGTCAATCGGTGGAAAATCAGCTACAATAATTTTTTTGCATCAAAATGACATCTATGGCAACTGAAAAATGGGTTGTGACTTGACATTTAGTAGCTAAAGTAACTGGACCATGTGCTATACCGTTGGTTTTTCTTTTATGGCTATTGAAAGGGATCCAAAGTTATCATACATATAAGATGACAAAATTTGTTGAAACTATTATTCCTTCAAGAGTGCTCCAAGGTTCTCAATTGGGTCCTCTTTTGTTTAACATATCAATGAATTGTATGTGTTATATCTTCTACTACTACTACTTTTTGATTTTCACCTGAAAATGTATTCGAGATCGAACGTAATCTGACTGTAAAAAACTTCAGTGTGATCTTGAATTTATCATTATAAGAGTAGATACTATAGTGGTAGTATCTTCATAACGTGTACATAAGAGTGTTCTTAATAATCGTTTCTGGACTTTTTCTATAGTTTCAGAATATAAAAAGGTCTTTCGATTCCAAATGACACAACCATATTCCAGCTTAGAACGAACAATGGAGTTAAAGAGTAACAAACAAATATCGTGATTGAATGCACGGCTAGATCTTAAGACAAAGCTCATTTTTCTATAACATTCATATACTGAGTATTCAATGTGCCGAGAGAAACTGAACATACCACTAAAAATGATCCCGAGATCTTTCATCTCATTGATTATCTGTAAATTGGTATGATTAATGAAATAGTCCTTGATAATAGGTGACTCCTTTCGTGTGAAACTCATTATTTTGCTTTTAGCTTCATTGAGAGATAGATCAGATACTGAAAAGTAAGTAGATAGATTATTGAGATCATCTTGAAACATATCAGAATCTTTTTCGCTTTCGATTCTTCTAAACAGCTTGATATAATCGGCGTATAGGAGAAATTGAGAAAGCCGAGAAATGTCATTAACAAATAACAAGAAAAGGAGAGTTCCCAAAATCGAGTCCTGCGGAACTCCCGAAGTAGCGGTGAATTTGAAGAAAGATACGTTGTTGAACTGTACGAACTGTATTCTGTTGGAAAGATAGCAGTGAAAAAAATCAAGTGTGTTGTTTGCGAAACCGAATGCTTTTAATTTCAGGATCAAAACCTCGTGATTAACTCTGTCGAATGCCTTGGCCAAGTCAGTGTATATAACGTCTATTTGATATCCATTTTTTATTCCATCCGTAACAAAGTTACTAAATGCGCATAAATTGGTAATGGTAGATTTATTAAGCCATGCTGTTGGTCGATTATTACTGAGTCCACGTGATTGTATACTCGATTATATATTACCCGTTCAAATATCTTCGACAAAGCTGGTAAGACTGTTATGGGTCTGTAGTTTTTTGTTCTTATTGCAGCTTTCGTGTATGGGGGTAACTCTGTCAATTCTGAGAAAGCTTGGAAAACGATTTTCTTTCAGAGAAAGGATGAATATCAATGGCAGTAGAGAAAAGTATCTTCTGTATAATTCAGTGATCATGTAGAAGTATTTGTTTCGAAAGAATTTTTTCTTTCGTGTAATTCAATGTTTATATTAAAGTAGCTGTTTCAGGAGGACTTTCTTTCAGTTTGTGTCTGAAAGTTACTTCTTTGCATGATCTACACATCCATGTATAGAGTAACTTATTTTCAAATTGATTACTTACTAATTACTTACTAATTGATACACAGTATATCTACTATATAGACGTGTTATAGAAATTCTATATATAACCGTGATGGGAATATAACCGTGTTAGGAATCACACGTTAAAAGGTAAGACCTCGTTAGTCCTTAGCTCGCACAAGTTCTCAAATTTTGAGAGTTGTCATTCGTATGGAGGCGACAGGAAAAACAGAATAGATATTGGGATTTTTCCCAACACCAAACCGTTATTTTGAAACCTCGACACGTGTAGATAAGGCAACGTTGTAAAAACAATTTTGAAACAATTAAGACGCAGGTACCTAGCAAAGGTATCTATGGTATACATGAGGACAGCATTGAATGTAGATTTAGTTCAATATTCCTCTTGAAGATGATGAAGTGTTTCAAAAGTGTTATCCGTTTCTATTAGTCTACTATAAACTGTAGTGTCTCAGTGAATACTTATTCAATTCAATCGAAATAAGCTCCATTTGAGACAGCACACTTTTGCCAACGTAACACAAGTCGATTAATTTCGTCAGCATAAAAATCGTGTACTCGGGATTCGATGAAGTCGAGGAAGGTAGTTTTTGCATGGTTGTGATTCAACAGGTGAGAAAGTGATTGAAAAGATAGTCGGTTGGCGAGAGGTCTGGAGAGTATGGTGGGTGAGGCAGAAAATGGACGCTCAATTCGTTCAATTTCGGATGTTGATTTCTGAAACGTGCGGATGGGCGTTGTCGTGGAACAGAATCGGAACTTTTCTGTTGTGCCTTGGTAGTTCATCGGTGTTCAACTACTATCCTGAACATCTCCTGTTGAAGAGGATCCACATTTCATCACACGTGACGATCCGAACCAAAAAAGGATCGTTTTGGTTGCGCAAAATCAATGAAGAACAAACCTCGAAAAGTGATAATTTCTGTCGATCGTTCACCCACTTTTCAAGTTTTTTGACCTTTCCAATACGTTTTACCATTAAAACATTAAAAACCGCATGGGAGCTGACGCCCAGTTCTTCCGCCATCCCACGAACCGTTAGTGATGGTAAAGTCTCCACCAGGGTCCTCAAATCCTCATTGTGGATCACTGTCCAAATCAATGTCCGAAAATCGCTGAAATAAGCCGAAAAAGGCAAAAAATTAAAATTTGGAAAAAATGAACGGCATCAATATATAGAGTAAATAATTACCTATCGATCAGTAAATACCACGACACAAAAATAAATATTTAATGAGGTATGGAGCTACAAAAACATATGACATTAAAACACAAAACTTTTTAAATTACCTAAAACTTGATGTGAACGTCATACAAAATCCAAAAAGTGCGTACAATTTGCAACACTAATTTCTGATTACATACCTGCGTCTTCGTTTACAAATGGTCTAACAATAATTTACTTCTATACCTGTCGACTACCTACCTGCTGGTTTTGCCATTATGGTTCAAAATGTCTATTCGGTATATTTTTGGAAACACTATTACGTTTGTTGGGAGAGCACTCGACCTTTGAATCGTAACGAAAATAAATTTTCTCGTGAGAGTCGATAAAATCAGTGAAAGTATCGCTGCAATCTTATTCAAGAATGTAGACAGGCAGTCTGATGTGTTCTACCGAACAGCGATAGAACCGTTAGATACTTGGAATTCTGTTGTAAGATGTTTTATTGCTTATTTTCAGGTATCACAATATTTAATGTTTAAAGCTGTTTTATTTAATAACCTTAGTTCATCAATGACTGAATACTAAATTATTGAAGAAATAAATCTCTTTGTCTGATTCCCGATGAAAGTTCGTATCGCAGAAAATAAGTGTTATTAGTTTTCAAATTCAGTAAATTTTTTTTTTGAATCTCAGAAGATGTTTACAATAATTACTTAAAATTTAGAACCAAATTTTTCATTCAATTTGCACCAATAAAATCAAAGTATTTTAACAAAGCATGAAACCAGTGTTTACTACTTTTGGGTTTTGTTGTACTGTATTCAAATTGGTTCTGCGATATTCTTAACTAGAAGTGCAAAAAACGTGCGGTGTATTTGAGATTATGTTTTCATAGGAATACTACACAATATAGTATATGTGAGAGATTAAATTGCACATACGTAGAACACTGTCATCTTCAATGGCGGACATCGATGTTTTGGATACTTGTTTTATTACCTCTTCAGCATCTATCTGGAAAACATTACAAGATGAGACAGTCAATTCATTCATATTTTTGGGAAAGAAAGGCAATAAGACAAGTGCTAATTTCCGAAACACCGATGTCCGCCATTGAAGATGATAGCATTTCGTGTATGTAAAATGTTACCTCTTTTATATATACCAAATTGGTTATCGTTTCTGTGGATGATATCTTATTCAATTCCATAACGAATATTTGGAATACAAAATGAATAGTAAAGATTGTTTTCTGTATAATTCAATGCTCATATAACAGTATTTGTTTTCGAAAATATTTTTTCTTTCATGTAATTCAATGTTTATATGAAAGTAGTTGTAAGGGCTTTTTCTTTCAAAAAGTTACCTCTTGTGACAACCAAACTTTATTCATTTATGGATGATCAATGATCAATATATTGAATCTTTTACAAGATAAAAAATGAGTTATATGACTTTCAATTGTAGGTTTCTAGGTCGAAAGTCACATAATAAAATTATTATGGATAGATTTGATTCTTCTGAAGGAGTCAAAGACTGGCAAATCGTGAGTAGTTGTTCATGGTTGAACAACAGCGGTAACAACCGGATATTAGTATATTATATTCATTATCAACATCGATCCACATCGTTGAGTGTTGAATGAACTTTACCTCTGTATAAAGATGTTCGTAATCACATTACAAATATTCAATTTAAACAATCAATTGTCATTGTTTCCCATATGTAATTATTTGCTTCAAAGGGTGCTATGAATGATACGAAAGCTATTGCACTTTTTATTCACAAGGTGTTTCGTTTTATCGACAACCGACAATAATATTGACTTTTGTTAAATAAGAATGGAATTCCATACCCGTTTGAACACTATGAGCCAAACTTCTTTCAATATTCTCCTAGAAAATTCGTTTGATATCAAAATAAAATCAATATTTTCCAGGTAGTAAATGTCAATAAAAGTCAATCAGAAATTTCCAAGTATTAAAAATTATCGAAAACATGATTGATATCACTTATTCACTATATCGAAAGCAATTTCTAAATCTACGATATCATCAAAGTGGAAATTTAAAAAAGTTGAATTCTTCAAACGTCAGATTTCGAGGTCGTTGTATGGAACGAAGGGGTGCAACTGACTGGCCTTCGCGGCCACCCGATTTGAATTCTTTAGATGCTTTGCAAGGATACATGCAAGAATGAATCATGAATCAGCCAAAAAGTACGAAAACGGTTTGAAGATAAGCTATGGAGGCTGACGGAAAATATTTCCAGCATCAGTAAACGTTTTGTTGGTACTTCAAAGCTCCGTATCAAGGGAACCGATTTTAAAAATCGATGCAGTAATGCATAAGGAGCCTAAAACCCCTTTCACTGGAGTATCACTCTATTGCCATACCCATTGAAACATTGAGGGATAAGACCCCGTTAAAAGTTTGCGATAATTTTGGGACAAAGTTTGTTCTTCTTACAAACAAATTGGATGTATTTTTGAATTTCTGCATTGTGTGTTATTATCTACTTGACGGTTTGTTCAAGTTGACTACCGCCATTTCTATTCCAGATCTAAAGCAATATTTGACTTTTTACTTACGTTGAAACGATGTAATCCTAGCATTTTCACCTGTTGAACAAATACCAGATCTGGTACAACGGTTGTAGTGGCATTTTTCGGTTAATCTTTTTCTGGGGCCAATTTCAATTATCTTCTTCGACTAGTTATAATGTTTGAGATCCCTGATCGAGAGAGGTTAATGCAGTGGACTGAATATTATTACCAATCAATTCAAATTTTCAACACAAGATAGTCTGACCAGCCACTTACCAGATGTGTAGGCAGGATGTTTTTTGGAGTTTATTCGAGGAATCATAAAGTCCTTCGGCGTTCATCTTGAGAAGTTTCAAACTTATGAGAATATAGAGGAGGCAACGATCTGCGTATCTGGGAACTTTTCTAGCGACTACTCTCACCTCTCTCTTCGCCTCTTTTTCACTATAAGTCTTTTTTACTACTCAGAGCGGAATCAGTGGCAGTACAGAACTTGTATTGAGACGGGGTTGAAAATGAATAAATTATCATTACTACAAGTATGGTTATTTTTCATAGTTACTCAAGACAGAATAATCCCCATTACGAATTTTGTTGTAAATCAAATGGTGCTAGTTTCCGTCGCGAAATTCGAAAGAATTCACACTGATAGTTTGTAAAGTTCATCATGCCCCTCTGGATGAGATGATGTGATTCCATTTCTGCAAAAGTATGTAGACATGCCCTGGCTTCGCATGGGATATGTTGCCAGGTTTATAGATTTATTTGCAGTAATTACATATTTTTTATGCACACAACAAATTTTGCTCACGATTTCGTCTGCGTGAACTAAATAATATAAATATATCACCCGCGTAGATCCCGATCCTGTGCGTATAAATACTTATTAAAATCGGTTCAGTACTTTTCACAGTTTATCGATAAGAGCGACCATTTTCATCTGCGGTTCAGCAGTTTTCAAGGTAAGATGAGGTTTTTTCACCAAAACGAGTTTTTCACCATAACATAAGCCTCTAAAGTTCAGTGGTTAAAAGCTTTCGTGTAAAAAAATATTTGAAGTCGTTTCATTTCATAGTAGCAAAATAGATTGACTTTCAGGAGTTCCAACATCTGATACTGTTTACAGAAAAGCTATAAGAGTCTAAGCCACTGATCTCCATTGTTTTATATTCATATACACCATTTGAATTGGTCGCTACAAAACAATTCAGTTTAAAGAATTCATCTCAGTTTATCTTTCTGTCTACCCGTACGAACTTGTGACGGGTCAGCTATAGTTACAGAGCTGCATTAGTTGTTTAAAAAAAAAATCTAGTGAAGAACATAGTCTGTTTTCCAAACCGATATCCTTAGGGTCTACGCGGGTGAATTAGTTTCTGTAGTTCACGAGGATGACGTCACGGACGAAAGCTATTGTATACAAAGACAATTTGTAATAACTATACTATAATTCCAAAAAAATGGGCACCAAATTCTCAGAATTGACTGACGTTTTTACCTTAATCTGTCTCTTGCAGTGACGTACGGAAATTATACTTAACAGAAGAGAAAAAATTATGATGAAATATATAGAATCACAACCTTGCCAACAATGTTTTAGTTTTACTGCAATAATATTTCTGAGAATTCAGTGTCTACTATCATGGAATTGTACTATATGGTAATGATAAAACTCTGGCAGTGACAATTAAAAATAACAAAATTTGTTGAATATTTAATCCGTGGACCGGGGTGGGTTGCTAGTAGGGTTTATATTTCTGAAATTTTTTGTTGGGTATAGTTTGGAAACATACTATTCAACCAAATTTTGTTTTAGTAGTGGTAGAGGGTACAATCCTGTACAGTATCTATTGTTTGGAGTACCTACTCGATAGTACCGCCCTGCAGCGCCGGGCGTTATTTTTATATTTATATAACAGAAGAGGTACTGAGGCACTTCTTTGTATTTGAAACCAACTGACTCGGCTTTAGAATCAATGAATGTTGTGTTAAGTTATCATCTGATTTATTTCAACTTTTTTATATTGTGTTTGTAAAGTCGGGTCATATTAACACGGCCAGTGTTGCCATGTCATTTTCATGCTCAGCAGCAGAGTTTCTTTCAGAAAAGCAGTACTACATATATGATGATTTCCACTATTTGCAATCATTTAACAATTTTATGGAAAGTAATGAGTGTTAGGAATCACACGTTAAAAGGTAAGACCTCGTTAGTCCTTAGCTCGCACAAGTTTCTCAACTTCTGAGAGTTGTTCGTATGGGGGCGGCAGCTGATTAACGGAAAAACAGATTTTAAACAGATTTTTCTTCAAACAGAGATTATTAGATTTCAACTGTCAAACAGTAAACAGTAGCTCGTGAGCCAAAATAGGAGATTTTCTGCAAAAACAGTATACCTGGCAACACTGAACATGGCGCTCTTCTCATGCGATTTCTTTTTCCTCTTCATAATATTAATTTAGATTTTTCTTATCATGTTGACGATCTAGCATACTTTCGATCAAAGATTTCAACACATCACAATGCCTTGTTGAGCTACTTGGGTGGTGGTGTCTGCGAGAATATTTGTTTGTAAGTAAAGTTTATGTGATTTCAAAAATAGTTACATCTCAAAGTTCACATTTGTGCTCAGAAAAGTTGATTTTGTTATCTAATTCGTCTCTTCCAAGCTTCTTACTTCATACCGATGGTTCAAATGGTTCACGTGCCTTTTTTTAAGGACAAAACACAAGCACTAGAGGAAAATCCTTAGGGCGTTCTAAGAGCGGTGCCTGTGCGAAAGTATCGATTCATATTGGATTTGAATCGCTGCAGCTTAAAGTCATTTGGAAAAACGTTCTTAGGAAGTTCATTCCACATAAACGCAGGTCTCCAAATGAAAGAGTTCTTAAACAGTGAAGTTCGAGGTGTACTGAATTGAACCTCAAAACGATGAACAACCACAGTCCGTCGCGTATTTTTGATATGTACCGCTCTTAGTCGAATCAAATGTGCCAAGTCACTTAAACACTTCCCGTGACAGTATCTATAAAAGATAGACAAATCTCCAACTTTTCTTCGATGATCCTGACTATCAAGGTTGCAAGTGATGTTCGCGTCTCCTATCAGGCGGATATCTCTTTTCTAGATCGAATCCAGCAGCTTCAGGGTATGCTTAGGGGCGGAGCTTCATACTTGAGAACAATACTCCAAAGAAGGTCTGATCTGAGCTTTATAAAACATCAACAGTTACTGAGGTGTGTACAGTTTTCTGGTTCGGAACAGTGTTCCAAGCTTTTGAGAAGCGGCCTTTGCAATTCCAGCGATATGGTTGTGCCAAGACATATTGGTGTCCATTTTAACCCTCAACAAACTTATCGAAGCAGAAAGCAGAATCGGCTGTCCTGACATTATTATATCCGGTTCGGAGACATTTATCTTTTTGGGTTTTTGTGGCATTGAATTGAACTTGGTTAGTTTCACCCCAATTCGAAATTACTTCAAGATCATCACCAAGATATTCAACCTCCTGCTGCCAGTGAAGATGTGCATCTGCAGCCGATGTCCTAGAATCCAAATGGAATGACGAGACAAGTGTGCTATCGTCAACAAAACAATATATTGCATTTTTTTTACAATACCAGTCGTTGATATACAATAAAAAGAGGGTTGGAAATAATATGGATTCCTGAGGAACACCAGCTTTTTTGGTAAAAGTATTCGAGACATATTCATCGACGGCCAGCTGGAGAGCCATGCACAAAAATGATCCGACAAGTCATAGCCTCGAAGTTTGCTCAGCAAACCTTTGTGCCAAACATAGCCAAAGGCCTTAGAAATATCAAGCGCAACAGCTCTTGACTCTCCATGTTGCCAATAAATAGATTTTACTTCAATTGTCATTTCCATGTATCTGCCAGAAAAATATGTTTGTTTTACCGAGAACAAGAACTCATTGAGTGTGAGAAAAGTTTATTGTTATGACGTTTTTTTTGTGCTGAGTACTTCCTTTTTTTGTCAGTCATGTTTTCCTTCACAAATTCACGTTTTTTTCACATAATGGAATTTGTAAGTAAAGCATTCAGTCACCTTAAAACATATTCCTACTCTCAACTAGATAGCGTCGTACACAAACTTGTTAGCATACTATTTCAGGAAATCAGTTGGAGACGGTTCATCAGCATGTGTCCAATTAAAAAATTCTCAGCTGGCTCTCGGATACACCTAATTCGTAGTATACAAAAGTCCGGAACTTCTTCAATGAAGAAATCCGATGGAAAATTAGTAACTGTCACACAACCTATTAATAACAATGTGTAGGAACGTTGAAAATCGAGAAGTTTTGAAGACATGTAGTGAGAGGCATTATGAAATATCAACAGTGGTAACTGGTTTCAATTTTCGTCTGTGTTGTGTGCAACAAAGAAAAGTATTACGGAACGCGTAGAAATTTGAATGAATTGAATTTAGTTAGTGTGGCGTATGCATGATTCTCAGACATGTATTTTTAATACAGTAGTTTTTTGTAATGTTTTTCTATGTCATTACCAAAAACAATGAATGTAAGTTTGGAAAAAAAACTCTTCCCATTTCTAGACTATATCAAAATGTTACTTTCGTATTCACCGAATAGAACAAAAGTTTATTAAATGTAAGGTATGTCAATTACGGTTTACATCAAGGATCATTTCTCCGATCAATAATTTTTCTGATATTAAATAAACTAATGGAACTTCTGGCGTAGAATGGGTCCAAACCAAACACTGCATTTAAACACCATAACTGAAACGCTCCTCTCGACGTATTTCACCAAACATGTTGAAGACTTGAGTAGAAGAAATTGACTAATTCTAAACTCTTAACATGGCCACAGGGTATACTTTTAGACACACATCAACGACTTCGGCTAGAAATAAAAACTCTCCTGTCACGGAGAGTTTTGCTTTTTGCCAAACGTAAATACATGGAATTATAAATGAAACATCTTTGTTATTAACGGAGAATTAAACTAATACGAAGTTTACAAAAACTAACGTATAAGCTCGAGGAAACAGAACAATGAAACAATTTTCAAAGATAAATAGTGTTAGTTTTCAATGAATCAAAATTCATTAATAAGATGTCTATAATAATTACAAGTCGTCACAATATAGACTTTATTTGCAATAGTCGTTTCACTACATCATTTGGACTGTTCGAACAATATATTTCGATGTATCCTCGTTTCCAAGTTATTCTGTAATAAAAACTATGGAATATTTGTGAGTTTAGTAGAGTAGTAATCAAAGATCAAATGGAACAGAACAAATTTCCTGCACGGAACAGAATTACGTGTAGTTTCCACTGATAGCACGAGGGTACAGTGGAAAACCCACTGTTCTCCTTTATGGCTAATCTGTTCATGAACAGATTTGAATTGTA